GTGTACTTTATAGTATAATATATTACATCTTTAATATTGTATATGAATTTATCGACAGATAAAATAAGAAAAAAATTTTATTAGATGAAGCGCAATATACACACTTGATAAAATTTGTTTTGCAAATAGCGATATATGTAATATATGCGTATGTAAAATGTATAGTATATATACGCGATCTAAAAAGGAATTGTAAAGGAACAAACAATCAAGTTGACTTTTTATTTTAAATTTGATTTAGGTACATACTAAAATGTCTTCGAAATAAGCCAGCCAGCTCGTGACAAAGCATCTTACCCAACTTGTGATATGCCTCGAACAGGAACATAGAGCAACTTTAGGACGTTGCTCTAAGGGAACAACCCCGAAGAGAAACCATCCCACCTAAGCGCGGAACCCAATGTGAAGAGCCGACGCTACGCATGCGCATGAATCGTAGATCGAAAACGCGAATGAATGCAGAGACGCGAACCTGACAGACTTATAGAAAAGAGGGGATAAGATGGAGCCCTGCGGGCTGTGGGCATCGATTATCGCTACTGCGGATCGAGAATCTGTCAGTTCGGAACGTCTCATGTGTGACATATGTGTTACCACTTGCGCCTCTATTTCGTGTCATACCATTCGGTTTAACTTCTACTTTTTTGTTTCTTGTATATACTTCTTTTAATTTTTTTTTTCTTCAGTGTAGTGCTTTCCTTACATTCGTGTGTCGTGCATAAATGGTGATTTAAATAACGAATACAATTCGATTTCTTTATGAACTTTCAATGAGTTGAAAATTCCTTGCCTTGTAACTTGTTTATTTGATTTAATTGATATTTTGTTAACTTTACATTAAAACATTTTAAGTGAAAATTGACCGATAAAATGGAATATACATAAGTAAAAAACGCTAGATTCAATCCAAGCATTTCTTCATGTCTAGTAATATTTCTTATGAATTCATATAACAATTTAATTGACAAGATAATTAAATTGCTTGTCAATTTAATTTGTATTATTACTCCAGCTTTAGTTTAGGACTATATTTTTGATGAGACTGACAAATAATCAGTGCATATAGTTTGCTTGAACTGGAAATTGTATAACTTCATAAAAAATATTATTAGGCATGAAGAACTACCTTGACCGAATATTGTTTTTTATTTATTAAATATTTGATTTACTTAATTATTTGTAACTTGTTATATTTATAACATAATTTTTTTTTTATTTTTAAAAATTATCTTTTTAAACTTTTTTCTCATTAAAAAGGTCAATTGGAAAAGACGAAGATAGTTTTCAAAATAGTTGCCTTGGAAACTATATCATACATGTACATATATCCATGCACGCGTGCAAAATTGGTAAAATTTCTAATGATTATTATCATGATCTTTACTTCACATCCTCCGATAGAGATATTCTTTTATATGATAATGCGTTTTTATTTTTTTAGCGAAGATAAGAAGAATTAATTTTTATTAATTATTAATAATGAAATTCTCATTAATAAAATAATTTTTTTATCATTGAGAATTACTCATGTATTACAAAAATTATAGAAAAATATTGTATTATTAAATCGCAAGAAAAATAATTGTAATCGTCGATCATAACTCACCAATGTAACCAATAATGCGTTTAGTATACCTATGGCGGAGGCGACCGCCATTAGGCGAACAAATTGCATGAACATTACGATCTCATAGATCGGCGATTCGCAGAATCCGAAAGGCAATTCCATCTTTATTAATAACTCTCGGCAATCGTCACCACTCTGCTTGTTAAGATTGATGGAAGCGGTACTGTAAAGCAATACTGCTATCGAATAAACACTGATGATCAATTTTGAACAGCGATGTGCGAGGATCGCCTTGTCGATCATGGCGTATATGTTGGAATATTTATGCCAATCGTTGGACATCGCTGTCAAGATATTTTTGAATATTCTGCAATTTAATACTTCACAACTGTCACAATACCGATCTAGAGAGAGAGGTTCACGATTTATCACGAAAAATGCGCTTCCGCCAGTTTGCAATGACGAAAAGAGTCACAAAATCGATTGTCGAGCTAATTCTTTTCATCATAAGTTTATGACTGTCAAATGCATTCGAATTTTTGTTCTGTATTATCAATACGCAATAGAAAAATATAACATTATGTTTGTAGCATAAAATAATGTCTTCTCAGGCCAACCAAAATTAAACAATAATTAAGCACTTTGAAATAATCTTGCTCGGCAATCAATACACTTAACATTAATTTTTGTAATCTGTCTTAATTAATTCTTAATCTAAATTAAATTCTGATTACATTAAAATATAATATTTCGTAAAATTATTATATGTTGTTGGAAGTACGTACCGATGATTGACCCACAGGACGATCAGTTTGAAGAAAAGGAGACTATGCGGCAAAGTAGTACTTAAACCATCTATCAGATTCGGCAGCTCCTTGGTGCTGAAATGTGTCAAAAGGTAATAATACTGAAAGATCAACCCTATTCCCATCACTAATGTCCAAAGTAATTTAAAAAAAATCGAAGAATTCGGCCATATTCCAGTAAAACGAAGGCCAATTTCGATCGATGGACTGACAGTGCTAGTCGGTATCATTGCGCAAAACATTCAACGTTTTTTTATCTCTTCGTTGACAAATCTAAATCAAATGGTGTAAATTTTTATTAAGGCTTCCATGTGATCACTGTACGTACTCAAAGAATAAGTTTCAAGATATTAACAAGAAGATCGGCAACCTTAACTACTACCGACCAATCGCATATGCTAAACGTGTCTTTTCGTCATATGCTTAGTAATGCAGAAAAAAGTTACTACGATCGAACGATGATTGCAGGTCTTGACAGACAAAGGATCGACGAGACTGCTATTTTGTCGTTTCCCAAATGGGAAAACTGTCTGTCGCCATTATTATGGGTGATTTACTTTAAAAATGCAAGAAAATAGGGAAAAAGTTACAACACGCTAGTACAAGAGCAAAATTCGCCAGAGTGATCATCGTCAAAAGAAGTTTCTGAATAAAGTAGCGAATATAAGTTCCCAAACATGGAATTTTTGCGACTGATCGGTGGACGCGCATAAGAAAATGCAATAAGCAAAAAATAAACCAACTTTATATGTCATTTCAATTCGGATGTGCATAATTTTAATTAAAGTGATCTCGGATCGGGAATCTAAAGTTGATAATAATACTTTACTATACATAAACTGATATATTACGAGTATGTGTTGTACATTAATCCACATTCACCCAGAATGAGGAAATTTGAATAAATATTTCAATAGAACTTTGTACGATGCAAATAGTAAACACAAGGTAAATGTTATTTTACATATTTTTAAATGACAGGAACATTTATAGCATACATATATCCTATGTCTCGTTCTTAAAGTTTATAAATTAGAGATAAGTGAAATATGTATAAAGACGACAAATGAGAAAATGTAAAAAAAATAAGATTCACGTAGCACTTAAAATGACTTAAAATGATGAGTATATAATATTATGCAAATATGTGTATGTATGTTTAATATCTTTTTATCAAAACATTGTAAATAACACCAATATGTAAAAAGATTTTAAAATCTGAGAAATGCAATATTGTTTTATATTAGAAAGAACATTTGGCATTCAGAAGCATTTTTTTAATTTTACAAAAACTTCCAAAGACATATCATAAAATTTCCCGATTATTAATTGAAAATTAATAAAATTTGATTTTAGCTGGATTTTGCATCATATCAAGAAGCCTCGTAAGCTGCATTTGCAACTATTGTAACTTGTTCTGCAAAAATAGAAAGAGAAAAGAATAGTAAAAGATTAGTAATAAGATCACAGTGTTCACACACACACACACACACACACACACACACACACACACACA